AAAATTTATTGAGATGAAACTAATGGTGTTAGAGTTAAAAAATTGAAAAGATATTTTATAAAATTAAATGATTAAAAATAAAACTTTATATAAAATTTCAAAATTAAATGTATACTTTAATTTAAAAAGTTTTTACCTCACTGCAAATGGATGGGTAAGTGAAAAATTTCATTTGCCCCTTTGTTTTCCCACTTTCAGGTGCGCAACTCTTCCTTTAATTTTTTGAGTCTCTTTTTATATTTTTTTATATTTGTAGACTACTCAAATATTCTACCCATGACATTTGTCCATAAAGTTCTCATTTTAGATTAGTAGATTTTTTTCATTTTATAATTATATTTAAACATTTTTCCATGTAATTAACAATTTTATTATGTTTTGTGCGCGTTCAAAATAAGTAAATGATGATAGAAAATTAGTTAATGTATATGTAATGTTGTATTTTATGGGGATGATATATTAAAATGAATCAGGTAAAAATTTTATATTTAGAAACAGTAATTTTAATGGATAGATACAGAAATCTCATAAAACTTAAATTTTTTCAATGATGGATCAGTCGTGGATTAATATACCTAGAATTCCTGAAACATTTTTAAATGGACTAGAAATATTTTTAAATTTTGCAATGTCACGTGGAGATGGAGTTGATGAACATTCTTTGTCTATGTCCACAGTGTAATTGTAAGAAATGGCATAAGAGGAATCATGTATGAGAGCACTTAGTCTTAAAACAATTTCCTCAAACGTATACATTTTGAACAACGTATGAGAAGACGTGTGATAGAATAAATGAATTTAGAAATGTCTCAACAACTTCAGAAGTAAGAATTGAGATGTTATCTTCAATATAACGGTCCCATCATTCATTCTTGATGCATTTGGAGTAATGTTGCAAGAAAAGACAATTTCTTAAGAAGTAAGTGGTCATGATTGGATCAAATAGATGAAGAAATTAAAAATTTTTATGAATTTTTTTTTAAAAAATCATGGCCTAAGAGGCTAAAACTCACAACCAATATTTTATATTTGTAATAAGGTTAGATATATTTTTATTTTTAAATTTTTTTTTTTGAAGAGCAATTTTATCTTTATCCTAATAAGTAAAGTATTTTTACTTCTGAATTATTTTTTTGAAAAGTAAAAAACTTCTTTTATAGGGTGCCCAATATTTTTTTAAAAAATAATTTAAAAATAAAATTACTCTATTGATAAATCAATATAAAGATAAAATTATTCAAAAAAAAATTTAGAGATAAAAATATAACTCAATCCATTATAATATTGTGTTTGATGTGTAATGTTTCTCGTGAACTGTGTGGAAAATGCAAGGGACTAAGGGTCGTCATCGTTGAGAGCTGAGAGGTGCCACCATGGAAAATTTTGTCGAAGGGATGATGCCATTCAGTGACTAAAATAACAATTCTGATCATATCTTTGTTTTTTTTATAGAAAGTTAAAGGCACTTTCCACAGTCGACTTTTTCACTGGCGAACCATAATTCAACAGCAACGAAATTCAACAAGCAACAAAAGCATGTGGGTTTAATCACGAATATTAAACAATTAACAATTAATTAATTAATTAAGTAATCAGCCAAACCAGTCAGCATCCCCTATAAGCTACTCCTCATAAGGGTGCTAAAAAGTCCTCACCAATAATAATCCTATCTGTTCAAGTATGACGCCTACAGAAACTTTGACTTCTGTATCATTTATAGGGTATACACTACTGTTTTAATTTGTCATATTTTTCATGTTTCTTGTCACATTTTTAATATAAGAAAAATTATATTGAAAAAAATAAAATAGTAAATTAAAACTGAAAAACCATTTTTCTTGTTAATGAAACTAGTTCAGGTTCATTTTTAGTTTCTTATGAGATGCTCTTTTAATTCTATTTATAAGGTATTTTTAACATATTTTATCAGAATTAAAGAAAACCTTAAAACTAATTAATTATATCTAAAAATTTAATAATTTTTAAAATTTTTCCTTATGAAATATACATATATTAATAATATATTTTCTCTCCAATATTCAATGAAGGTCAAATGAAAAAATTTAAAATAAAAATTTAATAAAATAACTTATAAATGGGAGTAAAAGGAGTAAGTATCAAACCATTATCATTTTCCCTGTTTGGTTGGAGGGGAATGGAAAGGAGGGAAGGAGGGGGAGATTAATGGATTTGATTTTAAGAAACTAATGGATAGTTGGGGCTATAAATTTTAAACATATATTATTAAGGTGCAAAAATATTTAAAAACTTTTAGTATCCTTATGTCAATAATAGTTTATGAGTACCCATTAACTTTACAAAAAAGACCAATATTCACTAATATGTTAAGTTATATATTCTTAAAATTTAACTGTTAGCGTCAGATTATTTTAATGGATTAAGAAATATTGACCTCTTTTAAGTTCATAACAAAATATTTTAAAAAATAAATTGTAAATATCAATTTAAACAAGTGCAAATTTAAAAATTTCAATTATAGATATGACATTTAAAAATTCAACTATAACTCTTAGATTGTATCCAAAATTTTTATTTGTGACTGTTTGAGTTAATTTTAAAGTTTATTTTCTTATAAATTTTTTCAGAATCCAATTGTCATTTTCTTAAAAGCTAAAATTTATTTATGAGTTAATTTAAGTTAACCTAGGAAGAAATGGCATAAGTTTTACATTAAATGGCGTTGGCCTGTCAAAGAAATACATAAATGAATAAAGAATTAAATTTGTCATTTCAAGATTTTGTATTAAGATGCGATTTCAAGTTTAATTATATGCATTCTTGATTTTTTTTTACATAAAATCAAATTTGAGAATCAAGTATGCTTTTAAACTTTTATATTTTTTTCCCTGAAAGTACAATAAGGAAAATGCCTAATCAATATTATCTCTTCAGACAATGGTGACAACATTTTCAACGTATCAGATTTTATATGGTCCTCGAGAAAATGTTGAGTGTGATGTTTACTTAATCACGAGGATGTGTGTGCATATATATATATATATATATATATATATATATATGTTTTGTTTTCATTTTGGAATAATATAATTAAAAAAAATCATCAGCATGCATGCATCTGTGTGCGACAGAGACAGCTATATAAAACCATTGTGTCCCTTGCATATATTTTTTCAAAATTGTTTTTTAAAAAAAAAGTGGTTAAAAATGTGTAATAGGTGGAAGAATAATGATGGAAAGTGACTTATTAAAATTGACATGAGTGATTGAAATTTTCATTACTTAAATAAGTATTTGGAGGTTCAAACCCTAACCTATGTATATATGATAAGTTAGTTGTGATAAATCTATTCGTTGTTCCAGCTGCCTTGAGGACAGGAGAGACAAAGGCGCGCGCGCGCGCGCACAAACTCCTTCTCCTTCCATTCACATTTTTAATTTTTTAAAATATAATTATTATTTTTTAAAGTATCTTTATTGAATATATTACTTTATACTTTTTAAGATAGAATACTTTATTAAATAAAAAAATATAAAATAATATAATTAATTTAAAAATAAGTAATTATTTTATTAATGGGTGAGATTTTATTAAGAGAATTTTATATTTTTAAAGGGAAGGAGTATATATTTTGTTATTGATTGATGTAGCTTACCTCACGAAAAAAAGAGGGAAAGTGGAAGAAGGGCAAACGTTGATGTGCATGTCTATCTTCAAAGCCATTTTTAAATATTTCAAAGATCTCCTCAATTTAATAAGTTGGACCCTGATAGATTTTGTTAAATATATTAAGATTATGTCTGGTGTTTTTTCCAAGAAAAGTAAACAATTTTTTCAATCATGTTTTCTATACGATGTACAGGTACTTTTTATGAATAAATTTTTTATGAACTCAATACATCACATTATTTATATTTTATTTAATAAAAATATGTCATGTTTGATGACTATGTATATAATAAATGAATTATGTCATTGATGATGATAGATGAAGAAAATAAGAGATTAAAAAGATATTCTGTTTTAAAAATAAAATTATTAAAAATAATAATAAATTACATTCCATTTGATTAAATTAGTATAATTTTATTGGATAAATCATGTGTTACACTAACTTCATGCAATAATTTATCCAACAACAATGGCTTCCATTGGGTAAAGGATCTATATCGAATTTTACTAAATGTGAAATCAGAAATGGGTGGGTTGCTTTTTACCTTTAAGTTATTTCTTTATTATTCAGCGATGACTAACACAACCTTAGATGGAATTGAATTAAAATGTGGTGAAATAAAAACAGTATTTTCATTAGAATAAGAGAGAATCGCATTTAAATTTTTTTTAAAAAAATCACTCGTAGATAAAAACTAACAAAAAGTCATGTCTAAAAAAAATTGTTATTACTATTTTAATAATAAATAATTTTATATTGACCATTAGTATGTGAATAATTCTTTTAAAAAGTCTTTAATTCATTCTTGAATAATGCCCCGTATTAACTATCAAAATTATCGAGATAACAATTAAGTATATGTTAGGTAAAATAGAAAAAAAGATATTAATCCACACTAACTATCAATCGTATAACAATATTGTTAATTGTATCCGCGTGTGTTTTTGCTAATTGCTATACATGGATGCATTATTTATTTTAAAATTAATCGTTGTTAATAATGTGTATGAGAGAGAGATTATATATAATTTATATTAGAAATCATTAAATCATTAAATAATGTGTAAAAGAAATTCTGGATGTGAAACAAATTATTAATTGAATTTAACAAATTCATGTACATTTCTTTAATCCTTATGAAGTAATTCTTCCTTTGAGGGGTATTATTTTTTTATTAATATATTGATATATTGATGATCAAAATTAAAAAAAAATTACGACTATTTCATGCGCCTGAATTACTTAATTAATCCTACAGTTATATTATTACATATGATATAAAAACTATCAAATATAAATTGCTCAAGTTTAACTTTCTATTAAGATAAATTAAAAACAGATCATAGATTGACGAGAAGAATTTCCGGATTGATATAGCATCATGCGATGAGCAACACTGTAATACAATTTATTTAATTTTATTTTACTTTGTTTCTTACACATGAAGTTACAAACATGGAGCGTGATAACGGTGTGTATCAGTAGAGAGAGAGAGAGAGAGTGATGACTGACGAGCGAGCGATCGATCAACTCAGTAAGGCCAAAAACAGAAAGTGTGATCTTCAACAGGGAATCCAAAATTGTTACAACAACCTTCCGGAGGATCATCGCCGGCGTAGCATCCATCTTCTTCAACCTTCGGAAAGCATGCCAGATTCAGGAGGTTGCTTCTCATCATCAGGTTATCGTCTTCTTCGTCCTGGGAGAAATCTGAGTGCTCTGCAGCTTCCGCTTCCACGGCCGGCGACGAATCCGCCGGTTCCTGCTGCATCATCGACGAATGGTGGTTCGCCTCCGCCGTGTCCTCCGAATCCAGCACGTCGCTTTTCGCCGATGAATTTGCGTCTTCCTGGTGCTGCTTCCACATCGTAATTATTCCCTTCGGCGTTGCTCCTCCTCCCTCTTTGGTTCCATCATCTTGCGGCTCTCCTTCTGTGGAATTCACTGCTTCTGCATCTCCAGGATCTACATTGGCCCCTGACTTGTGAGAATCTTCTTTCTTTCTCTCTCTCGCATTCAATCTGTCTTTTAAGGATTTCACCTGTGCACCAAAAATGAAGATTTATCACTTCGACCTCGTTTTCTCTTTAATTATTAGATTCGTGTAGCTCTGGATTAATGTGTGAACATCTCAATGAGTTCATCGTATCGGATCAAAAACAAATTAGTTACATGAAGATTACAGAGTTTGCAGAAAATACCTATTTCACGCCTAGATTGAAGAAATAGGCCTTACTAGACAAGAAGCCGGTGACTAAAATAATAAGAAAAATTCTCCAGTTAATTCCAATTTTAGAAACCCTTGACAAGAACATTGTGAGCCATACAATCCTTGCCACCGGATTAATCCATACTAGTGGGTTACACTTTTTTTCTTTTTTTTCTTTCTTTCCAAGTATCTCAGTTAAAGATATCTTCAATCCAGAGAGCACAAATAGCTGAGCAGAGAGATGAAACTGAAAGAGAGAGAGAGAGAGAGGAGTAAGCGTGTGTATGTTTGTTACAGTTAGTTTACCTCTTCTTTTAACTTGTCGTTCTCTTTGACAAGATCGTCATGGTCACTCTTGAGTTTATCATAGCTGGCTTTCAACTTGCCATATTCTTGCTCGAGCTGTTTGGTCTTGAACCTTGCTCTTCTGTTCTGGAACCATATAGCCACTTGCCTTGGCTGCAAACCTAGCTCCTTCGCCAGCTGAACCTTCCTCTCTGGTTCAAGCTTGTTTTCGACCTCGAAGTTCTTCTCCAGAAACTGAACTTGCTCGCTAGTGAGCCTCCTCTTCTTCCCAGCTTGATGAAAGCAAACCTCGTAATCTTCCTCCCCTGTCTCTTGTTTCTCCACTCCTTGCAGAAATTGCCTGTCTGTCACTCTGCACCCACCCAGTCTCTCAAAATTCATCACAGATTTTGATCCTGAAACCGAAATTGAGAAACCTTTCATCAGAACAGAGTCATAGCAGGTTAGTTAAATCAGTAAGCTTTTGGGTATGCTTGTTTTCTTTCTGTTCACTACATAAATTCAGTACAGGCTTATAAACTTGAAAATCAGTAACTATAGTTACAGTAAGATACTATGATGAAAGTGTGGAACAGAGTAATTATATAAGAATGGAGAAAAGGGGTTGTGGGAAATGAAATCACCTGGGAAAGTGGGATTAGAGGTGTGAGGCCAGAGAGAGTCGAGAACGTCAGAAGAGGGAGGGAATCTTTCGTTTTGGAGAAAGAGTGCTGTCATGTTGGATGCCCCAAAGAGTTTTCCACCCGCCGCCATAGATAGACCTTGAAGAAACTGAAGGGGGTTCAGAGATTTGAAGTTAAGGGATCATATTAAGGACGATGATGAAGGTGATGAGGAAAGGTAAAAGGAGAGTGATGATGGGTTTTTTTGTCTAAAATTTATGGCGAAAGCAGCAGGTCGTGAGGATGAATGTAATGTGGGAATTCAGAGAACGAGGGAAGTTCATGCCCAGATAGCTCAGAGGAAAGGATAGTAAAAGACTCGAAGCCTAATTACAGGGGGGGGGGGGGAGAGTTTCTTCTTCCTGTGGTGAGACGAGAGAGAGAGAGAGAGAGAGAAGTCAGTTCTGGAGCAGGGAAATAGATAATTCCTCTCCGTGCTGGGAGGACCGAGTGGGGTTATATGGAGCGTTGGTCCGATGAGGCAGGGAACAGGTATAGACAAGGGTTCAAAGTTACCGTAATGCCCCTTCCTTCTTTTTTTTTATATTTTTATATTTTTAATTATAAAGATTCTCGTCTTTTTATCACTTAAATAAATGGTTAGCGATTTAAAATTTAAACTGTGTTTATATGGCAATTTAATTGAGAGTTCTATCCGTTGTCCTCAATACTTCAGGAAGATATTTTCTGTTATAAGAAGAGTTTACTCCTTATGTTTATAAAAAAGATGGGAGGTAAAAGAAGGAAAAACGATAATGCGTGTGTGTCTTCATACATTGGACATTGCAGATTGTATCTTCAAAGCCATTTTTAAATATTTCAAAGATCTCCTTAATTTAATAAGTTGAACACTGATAGATTTTGCCAAATATATTAAGATTATGTCTGTTGGTTTTTTATCCAGAGAATATGAATTGAAAAGTAAACAAATTTTTTAATCATGTTTTCTATATGATGTACAGTTGCCTTACGTGGACAATGACAAGAAGTTTTTGTGCATGGACTTAGTCATCTATACTTCATCAAATAAAAACATATCAAACTAGATGATTGTAAATATACATTACTTCTATCATTAACAATGATAGAGGGAAGATGCAAAAAATTAGAGATACATTTTATTTAAAAAATAAAGCCATTAACAATATTTATATATAAGATTTCATTTGATTGAATTAATGTAATTTTATTAGACAAAATATAAATGACACAACATACTAGATCTACTCAGGAGTGAGAATAAGACAGGTTCCTATGAAGGGCATACGTCCTAACTACTTCAAATCTAGCTTATTTATTAAATAAGTTCAAGTTAAGTTCAAGCATTTAATTAGGCCTATTTAATTAAATAAGTCATATTTATTTTTTCATGGCTTAGTCTACAAATCCAACAAGCCAGCCTATTTGTATATACATATATGTTATGTAATATATCACACACACCTTAGTTTCACCTTTTAATTTTTAATCAATTTATTCTTTTTTATTTCTTGTTATGTTTTCAATTGGATTGAATTTATATATTGATTTTTAACATTCATATTTTATTATTGTATTGTATTATAGTTGATAAGTTTTTTTAATAATATTTTATCATTGCATTGTATTGTAGTTGATGAGTTCTTTTAATTATTATATATTGTAATTAGTAAATTAGGTTTTATATTGTATAATAATAGTTTTAAAGGATATTTGAGATGTTTGAAACTAAAATGTAAACTTATTTAAAATATATACTTTTAAGTATGCTCTTAAATAAGCTTTCAGACTATTTCAGACTTTAGGTAAGCACATGTTTAAGTATTAAAAAAAGTCTTATACAGACTTTAAGTCAGACTTAGACTTCTAAATTATCATAAGGATTTAGATATATTTAGTTAAAGTCTAATTCAGTTTAGTCTACTTTCACTACTATGACTACCCAAAAATTTCTCACGTAGCAATCGCTTCCGCCGGGGAAAAGACCTATCGAAGTTTATTGAATGTGATATCCGGGGAATAAGACCTATATCCAAGTTTATTAAATGTGAAATCAGAATTGGTTGAGTTGGTTTTGCCCTTTTTGTTATTTCCTTATTATTCAGAGATGACTTATACAACCTTAGATGGAATAGAATTAAAACGTGGTGGAAAAAAAAAAAACAAGAAGAAGAGCATTTTCACTAATATCAAATTGTTTTTGAAACTGTCCATTAAAATAATGTTTCACTAAGTATCAAAATCATTGCAATAATAATTAAGTATATGTCAGTAAAATAGAAAAAAATTATTTTTTTTGTTAGAGCATCCAGTATCCTAGGACAAGCCATCTTTCAGGCACATTAATGGCCCCAGACTAATTCAGATTGAAGCATGACATGAAACCATTAAGGTTGGCACCCTTGGCCCCTAGAGTGCTGTGTACCCACAGCTCAAACTCGAGACCTGTGGTTAAGTTAGAACAGCCTTAGCCAGCTGATCTAACCCCACGGGGTTAATAGAAAAAAATTATTAATCCATGCTAATTGTCAACTAAAAATATTGTTGTTATATTTTTATTTTTGCTAGATAGATTGATGCATTAATTAAAATTATATGTTTGTTAATACAGAGACATTATATAATTGAGAAAATATAATGATTGAGTAATGATTTATATGTAATCTTTAGCGGATCACATATAAACCCGTCACATAGAAAGGAAACCACTATCAATTTCTAAGGATTACATGAAAACGATTGACTATTATATGTAAATCAATAAGGAGATGAAATCACGAATATAGCTGAGTAACCATTTACATATAATCTCTAGTGGATTACATGTAAACTCATTACATAGAAATGAAGCTATTGTTAGTCACCAATAATTACATGAAAACGATTGACGATACATGTAAATTTCATTAGTATAACAGAACGCAAAAGCCTTATATCTTAAGCCAGATCCCTTGTACTCAAAGCTAAAAGCTTTGTATCGTAAACTAGAAGCCTTGTATCCTAAGCTAGAAGCCTTTCATGTAAAGTTTTGCACCTTTTGGCCTGAGTGTAAGCCTTTTGACTTGGGATGCAAACTATCTGCCTTTAGTCCTATCTTGTCCATTTCCACTCCCATTTTGTTACTTTCTGGTTTGGGTGCAAACCTTCTGATTTAGGATGCAAGTTATTTGGCTTTAGTCCTATCTTGACCATTTCCACTCCTGTTTTATCCTAAACTTACTCTTCAATTGACGGATGATCGCTGTTGCACGAATCTTGAGTAACTACAATCACTCACGCGCCGCTAGCCGACAGTCCCCCTCCTTCCACTTCAACACCCTGTTTTGTCCTGGATGCAGGAATTAATTCGATACAAACATCTGATGCTCTTGTCAATTAATATAAGGACACCTATTTTCGAGCATTACACAGAAAATTTCCCATTTATCAGATTGACAAGTTGAAGGTGTTTGTTTTCACTATTTTGATTTGAAAGGGTGCTAAGAAGTTGATACAAACAACCAAATTTGGGTTTGAATAAACAAAGAAAGAAAGAAAGAAATCAACAAATCAAACTTGGCTTTGAATAGCTGGGAAAACTAATTCTTCATAAAGAAATTTAAGCACTCGACCTTAATGGAGTGACTTGTTCACCTTTTCATTACCTAGACCCACCCACTCTCCTCTTCGCTTTTCTTCTGAGCCGAATCTCTTTCTTTCTAATATACCCCAAGGAGTGGAGAACCATGAGCAAGATGCCACCCTAGATGAAGCAACACTGGTTGGGTCAACAATGGAATCAACTGTGGAGGAGGCGTGAGTGATGAAGTCGACGGTGGTAGAATCAAAGGTTGGGTGACGAAGTCAGTGATGGTAAATTTGAGATTCAGTGATGAAAGCGAGGTTGGGAAGAAGAATCTGCTAGTTGGAGAAGACGAAGAAGAGAGGAAGAAAGGGAGGAATGTAAACTAACTTCATATTTAACGGCAAGATAAAATTATACTAATTTCGAAAGTTCAAAAGTAACATTGTTTTTACTAAAAAGGTAAGAATACTCAACACTCCTTTTAAAAAACTTTCATGACATTTTTATCTTTCAACCCAATTAAAAAAAAAAATTGACTATTTCAATATACATAAATTGCTTAATTAATCCTACATTTATTTTATTACGTGATATGAAAACTAAAAATTATATTGCTCACATTTAACTGAACAAATTAAGATTAAAAAAACAAAGCACAGATGAGATTGAGAAGATGAATGATATGAAGTATGAATATGTGATAAGTATTGAGTAATACCATTTATTTAATTGTATTTTACTCTGTTTCTTACACAAAGTTGTTTCAAACCTGGAGCGTGTGATAAGTGTGCAACAGTAGAGATTTATGAGTAAGTGAGCAATATCGACTCAGTTAGGCCAAAAACAGAAGGTGTGATCAACAGGGAATCCAAAATTGTTACAACCACATTCAGGAGGATCATCCACGGGATAGCATCCATCTTCAACCTTTGGAAAGCATGCCAGATTCAGGAGGTTGGCCCCGTCATCAGGTTATTGTCGTCTTCATCCTGTGAGAAATCTGACTGTTCCGCAGCTTCCACTTCCGCAGCCGGCGACAAATCCACCAGCTCCTGCTGCATCGTCGATGAATGGTGGTTCGCCTCAGCCGTGTTCTCCGAAACAAATCACATTGCTGCTTTTTCTACATCGTGTTATTTTTTCCTTCAGCATTGCTCCTCCCTCTTTGGTTCCATCATCTTGTGGCTCTCCTCCAGTGGAATTCACTGCTTCTGCATCTCCAGGATCTGCATTGGCCACTGACTTGTGAGAATCTTCTCTCTTTCTCTAGCATTCAACCAGCTTCTCAGGAATTTCACCTGTGTACCAAAAAAGAAGTTTTATCACTTCGATCTCGTTCTCTTTAATTAGTAGATTCGTGTAGCTCTGGATTAATGTGTGTATGTCTCAATCAGTTCAGCGTATCCGATCAAAAACAAATTAGTTACATGAAGATTACAGAATTTGCAGAAACAACCTAGATTGAAGAAACAGGCCCTTACTAAATAGTAAGCCGGTGACTAAAATAATTAGAAAAATTCTCCAGTTAATTCCAATTTTAGAAACCCTTGACAAAAACATTGTGAACCATACAATCCATGCTTGCGGGTTACACTTTTTTCTTTTATTTCTTTCTTTCTAAGAATTTCAGTTAAAGATATCTTCAAACCAGAAAGCAGAAAAAGCTGAACAGAGAGGTGAACCCAAAAGAGAGAGAGGAGCATGTGGGTGTATGTATGCTTACCTCTTATTTTAACTTCTCGTTCTCTCTGACAAGATTGTCATGGTCACTTTTGAGTTTATCATAGCTAGCCATTAACTTGCCATAGTCTTGCTTGAGCTGTTTGGTCTTGAACCTTGCCCTTCTGTTCTGGAACCATATAGCCATTTGTCTTGGCTGCAAACCTAGCTCCTTCGCCAGCTGAACCTTCCTCTCCAGTTCAAGCTTGTTTTCCACCTCGAAGTTCTTCTCCAGAAACTGAACTTGCTCGCTAGTGAGCCTCTTCTTCCCAGCTTGATGAAAGCAAACCTCGTAATCCTCCTCCCCCGTCTCTTCTTTCTCCTTGCAGAAATGGCCTGTCTGTTACTCTGTACCCACCCAGTCTCTCAAAATTCACAACAGATTTTGATCCTGAAACCGAAATTGAGAAACGATTCATCAGAAGAGAATCATAGCAGGTTGGTTAAATCAAAAAGCTTTTATGTCTGCCTTTTTCTTTTTTTTTTTCTTTTTTGGTGTTCACTACATAATTCAGTACACAGGTTTATAAACTTGAAAATCAGCAACTCTATTACAGCAAGATAATAAGATTAAAGTGTGGAACAGAGTAATTATATAGGAATGGAAAAAAGGAGTTGTGGGAAAAGAAATCACCTGGGAAAGTGGGAATAGAGCCCAGAGAGAGTCAAGAACGTCAGGAGGGATGGAGTCCTTCGTTTTTGGAGAAAGCGTGCCGTTATGCTGGATGCCCCAAAGAGATTTCCACCGGCCACCATAGATAGGCCATGAAAAAAACTTAAGGGGATTCAGAGATTTGAAGTTAAGGGATCATATTGAGGACGATGATGAAGGTGATGAGGAAAGGTAGAAGGAGAGTGATGATTGGCTTTTGGGTCTAAAATTTATGGCGAAAGAAGCAAATATACTAGCTCATAAGACATGAATAATTCTTGCTGATAAAGAAACTATGCCGAGGAATAATATTGTACAAGTTTATCTAAATTGTATATAGATAATCATGGGAAAGCTTACTGACAAAGTCAAATTCAAACATTTTATCCTCAGAAGGTGCACATACAATTTCAAATCCAATAATGTGAATAATAGCTAGTAATATTGAAGGCAAACAGTAATGAGCTTAGATGTAACAAAAAAGCAAAATGGTTATTAGGAACTAGACTCCCATTAGACATTAGAGTTTTGCTATTCAGAACTTCAATAGCAGTTCCCGATCCAGCAACCAATTTAGGAAATTTTGGTTTCACAAGCCTTACAGATAGCAGATAGCCTTGTAAAACAAACTGCATAGAGTGCAAGAATAACTATCTTAAATTTATGCACAATAGCAAGTAACCCTCATCAATATGAACCTCAAAGGGCATTCAATTCTTCAAAATCTTCCTCAGATGAAGCAAAATCCTCACTACGCACATAACCAGCATCTTTCATTAGCTCATTCAACCCACTCATCAACGGATAAATCGCAGAAGCATGAGGGTTGGAAGTATCCCCAACCAAAAAGGGGGCAAACTCATTGCCAACAGCAACCCAAGTACAACCAGGAGCCTTTCTCACGCCCAAGTCTCTCATGCATGTCCTCACATATGCTAGTTTGCTCCAACAACCAGCAGCAGCATACATGTTGGCAATCAATACATAGTAACCTGAATGATCAGGCTTCATCTCTAGCAATTTCCCTGCAGCCCATTCCCCCATCTCTGTATTTCCATGAGTTTTACAGGCTCCTAAAAGAGTGGCCCACATGGCAGCAGTTGGCTTGTATGGCATCCCAGTTATAATTTGCTTTGCTTTGTTTAGAAGACCGGCTCTCCCAAATAGATCAACCATGCAGGCATAGTGCTCCAAGCAAGGACTTACCCCAAAGACATCTGTCATCTTACTAAACAGCAATTCTCCTTGGGCTAGAAGGCCTGAGTGACTACAAGCTGATAAAACTGCAATCATCGTTATCTTATCAGGTTTAATCCCAACCCTGCCCATATCTTCAAATAGTTCTAGAGCAGTCTCTCCATCTCCCTTCATACCATAGCCAGCAATCATAGAAGTATATGTGACTTCATCTCTTGCATTCAATGAATCAAACAGCCTTCTAGCTTCCAAGACCTTGCCTGACCTCGCATACATGTCCACAAGAGCATTCCACAATAACAAAAGGTCCTTAAAGTCCTCACGCTTCATGATGTAGCAATGAAATTCTTTCCCATGCTGTAGGTTTGCAATGCGAGCACAAAGAGGAAGAATGCTTGCAATGGTCACATAACTAGGTTCAACCCCCTCACAGAACATCTCTCTGAAAAGGAAGCACACTTCTTCAAACTGATCGGCATTAGCATATCCAGAAAGCATGGCATTCCAAGTAATCACACCTTTTCCTTCTATTTTATGGAAGACCATATATGCATGCCTAAGGTCTCTACACCTAGAATACATAGTAATTAATGCATTTTTTATGTTTTCAAACACGTCAGAGCAAGTTCGGACTGCATGTCCATGAATCTCCTTTCCCAGTTTAAGGGCTCCAATGTGAGAGCATGCATTTAATCCAATAACCATTGCCACAGAGTCCAAATGACAAACAGATGTTCTCATCTGAGAAATCAAAAGAAGAGACCTCCTGAAATTGGTCGTTCGCAAGCATGCCCCAGCAATGGTGTTCCATGTGATTATACCCACTTCAATATCCTCTTTGCACATGCTTTCAAACAGCTGAAATGCTTCCCCCCACATATTCCTAGAAGCATAAATCCCTATCATAGTGTTCCATGAAATAGAATCTCTATTGGGCATACTATTAAACAAACCACGGGCAGCCTCCACTTTCCCAAACCGACCATACATGGAGATCAATGCATTGTGCACAACCAGACACCACTCCAGAGAGCTAGCTTTGATAGACTCGTGAACCTCCATGCCACTAACACAATCTGATACTTCAGCACAAGCCTTAAGAACAGATGGATAAGTGAAATTGTCTGGTTTAACCTGCTTATTCATCATTTTCTTATAGACAGAAATAGCCTCTGAAAAAAGCTCATTTCTAACATAGAACGAGATGAGCAAATTCCAAGGTAAAGGGTCCAAACAACAAGTGTTTTCAATGGCAATGTGAGCATCAGCAAGGAGATTGACATTTGCATAAAAAGTAATAAGCCGAGGAACCACAATGGGTTGTTGATCAAAACCGAGTGAAATAATCTGGGCATGAAGTTGCTTACCTTGTGGCAATGATTTAAGGTTGATGCAAGATAAGAGAAGAGAGTTAATGGGATGTAATACAAGATCGAAAGAATTAGAAGAAGATGCATGGCTCTGAATTTGATAAAATACTTTAAATGCATTTGATAACTGATTCTGTCTTACAAACTCTCTGAGAGATGCATGAAGAGAGCCAATCATAGATGCATAACCAGGAATGGTTTGTTCATCAACTTGGCAAGTGGGTTGCTTCCAAGATTTTGGTATGAACTTCTGAACTTGAGACAAGAATTGGCTTCTCGACACTGAAAATAATGTTGAAGATGGCATAAAATAGACATATGTATGTTGTGAACACGAGGACCAAGAACTGAACACATGGCTTTGTTGATATAGTTTGGTCCAGATTCCAATATAAGGGATCGGAACAATCCAATGTAAGAGATGAGGGGAAGAAATTGGGTTGGGAAGCGACTATTGTTTTCATTAAGGTTGCATTTTGAACTAAAAGTTAAGACCTTTTATCGAGAAAAAGGTGACCAGATGATGGTTGCTGCCACCACACACCAGTGTGACCTTGAATGAGGGAAGATAGAGACAGGTCCATGGAAGTAGAATGCTTAGAACCTGAAGCTCCTCCTTTTGTTGTTCTGGTAGGAGGCCACATGTACAAACAAACAAATACCTAAACAAAGCCACAAAAAAAAAAAAAGCTCAAAACAAAAAGAGATGCAATCGTAAGCAGGTGCATAATGCACAAAAACAGTGGCACCCACAAAACAAAATTAAAACAGTAACACAATGGAACAACAAACGGATTAAAAGTGTGAAACAATACCCAACATGTGAAACAAATAAAGGGGTTCACAAGAAACAAGAACGCACACAGTCAAAACCAAAGGCTCAATCAAAGAGCTAGAAAACTCTAAACATTTGCAGTAAATGCAAGATGGAAGAAACCAATAAGTGGTTCATAAACAAACAAAAACCAATCCAGTGACAAGATTGAGCAAGGCAACATCCCTAACCCAAACTATCACATGCAGTAACATAACCTCATCCCCAACTGAGTGACACCATTCCTTAACAGCATTAAAAATCAAGAACAACACAAACAACATGCCCAGGAGTTGCAAAGAAGCAAGCCTAAATTCAGATTAACAGCCTCAGCAACAGGGGAATATGACAAAAATTCATCATTTTAAGCACCAGCAACATGTCAAAATTATAATGTGAAATCCGAATTGCAAACTCATCAGGAGAATCACATGAAACAGCACAAACCAGCAGATAGGCACAAACACGAGATAGACGAGATAGACCAGAGCAGCATCATTAAACCAAATAAGTATTTGACGACAATGAAGTACTAAATCATAGCAGCAGTCCACAGGGCAGTAAGCAAAAATACTTGAAAAAAAAAATAATAACAGTGACAATCCAACAAAATCCCAAAGTCTTAACCTCCACTAGAGCAAAAAACAATTTTTGTGACAGTTAAAAAAGCTATTTCTGTGACACCAGAGTATAGTAGAAATAAAAGAATTTTCGTGTAAGTTGGTAAAGGAACTATCACAGTAATTGATAATTACAGCAAAATGTCACCGTAATTGGGTATTTTAAAAATATATATATTCTTTGATACCATATTAGTCCCTGATTTAATATTAAAAGTTTCATTTTAATAAAATTCTAATTTAAAATGGCTTACACATAAATGGTAAACAATACACCAAAATTTAATTGAAAATGACATGGATTAATAATTTAATTAAAGAACATATAACATACACAAGTTTTGAACAACAAATACACACACACACACACACACACACACACACACACATATATAAAAACCATTCTATAGAAAATATGAACCTCACTAAACCACTTAATCCTAATGGAAAAATAAATAACTCGCTGACAAATTATTAGAACTGAAGCTGCTATTCACTTTCCTACCTTCATTAATTAGCCAAATCTGTGGGTTCAAACATCATCGCTTGTTTATTGTGAGGAGCCAATTTGAAAATTTCTTGTGCATCTCTTCTCAGGCCTGCAAGCAATAAATTAAAAACTGAAAAAAATAAGAAATATGAATAAGCGAATAAGAAATTACATAATTTTGTTAGGTCTATAAATACCAACGCAAAACCACAACAGAGAAGCAAGTTACCAAGCAATTCAAGCATTTTTTTCACACACATCAAGTATTAAATGCCTCACATTCTTTAAGCTAAGATCCTTATCTTTAGTCAAGGGAAAAGAATAATGTCCTCAAACAGGCATTTTAGTTTTTTTTGCAACACAAAATGAAGTTAAATATATGGCCAGAGCTATGAGAGCATTTAATTTGAAGTGTTTATGCATCAAATAATTGCAATGACAGAAAACAAAAACATGCTGGTTCCTAGAAATTCAAGAGCACTAGGCTCTCCCACACATTCACTCACTGATTTCTTGAGTCTTCCTTCAAACCCACAAAGATAGATGAATGTTGTGGGAAAGAAGGAAGAAGAGAGAAAGAGTGGGGTGGGGGAGATTCGAGAGGAACAGAGGAAGAGTAGAGAAACACACACACAGCGGTGCAATTTAGCACTAAGGGTCATCAACAACTTTACAATAGTCTTGTATCTAGTATTTATAGGTCCATATAACTAACGGTCACTAACAACTTGCTCTTAACCATTTACGTGACACACCACCCCTTGTATATTTCCCACATCTAGCCTACTCCCACTCTCACATACACCTCATATACTTTGCCCATTATATATGCAGTGATTTCTAGACTAACTACAGTGAATCTAGACTAAACTAGTTCACCAACTATCACAAAACAATTGGGCTTGGGCTTAGCCTGATATCTCTCATTTCACTCTATACATAATGTCAATATCTAAAGAATAAATGAGTAGATATTGTTAAACCAAACAGAAAGAAAAAGGCGTCACTGACATACAATTGTGGATTTAGAAGCTTGACAAACATGACCGAGTTTAAGACATTGGCATCTCTAAATAGTGTGAATAATTATGTACATCATTCTCAAAGAATAACAACAATGAGAACAAGATTAACAAATGATAGCAGGAGGAAAAGTCATCTGTACAACTAAGTAATGATTTCCTAAATTTAATATATGCTCTCAAATTAGGAACTAACATTATTGAGAATGAAAAATATATATACACTCATGAACAAGGACGCACTTCTCCAGCCAGACTTGAAATGCATTGTATGTATTTTTTGATATACCCTCATGGATTTCCTTATTTAGCAGAGAAACCATAGAAATTTGTTAAGAATATATATATGTGTGTGTGTGTGTGTGTGAGAAAATTTCATCAACTTACGGTTATCTGATATAATAATTAAGAAAACAAAGCCCTGGAAAGGAGGACACGTGAAAGAAAGTATGCAATTGCAAGGAAGTATTCCCAGGAAATGAGACAACATTCATAAATAACTAAGGGCACCTTTACTAGTTTAACAGACTCTCCTGTATTAAAAAAAATCATTTAAAGACTTACTCAAGATTAATATTCCACGTAGCCAAGCATTTCACATTTATAGATGTGATTTGTTCATATTTGAGGGACCAATTGGAAACAGCAATCACAACCTCCAGTTTCTCAATGCCTAGCAAAAGATATAGGTATCCAACTATAACAAGCAACATGAGAAAGCCTATTGCAATTAAATTTGAAGAGCTTATAATACTGACATTTAGTTCTGTCAACATTATTTGATAGGCATGCATTGTTGGATATTACACGAATCTTCATCATGACAGTTTCATTCTGAACAAATTATACATTAGGAACTGAATAAATACTACCACCAAGTTTCATTTGGAGTTTTGAACTACAAAACTCACACTCTGAAACAAAATACACCGAACATCAACAACATCATCAATTGCCCAGTCAAGATCGGAGGACAAACCACAATCAGATTTACGCAGATTTAAATATTAAAGACTTTAAAGTGGAAAAGTTGCAGAGTGACTCTAAAATGACAACGACAAAGACTAAGGGTTCTGACTACCGAAGCAGAAGCAACACCAACATCGGCAAGAAAGAAGGACAAAGACAGTGTAAGGGAAGGCCAGAGAAGGAGAATAGAATCGAGATTTGGAGAGTCACCTGATTTTGTGATCTTTCTGGTTAATTCAATCCTCGGAGAGACATTAAAATAGTCATCTGTTCCTGCCAAATCATCCATGGGTCCAGAAACACACGCATAGAAGTGAGAATGGGAAGTCGATAAGTGTGAGGATGTGAAAAGCAAACAGAAGAGGGATGAGGCCAAGAGGAACGGCCGAAGTAGAGAATGGGGACATCTGACTATAGGGTAAATGGCATTAACCAAATCCTAAGAGGCTATGGAGATATGGAATCCATAAATAATAATATCCATAACAATTCACATCTTTTTTACTGTTCGCAGAACATTGTGCGCTCTATCGTGTCTCAACCCTAACTCGCTCATTTTACTTTTGTCTACATCTCTTCTTCCATTCTCTACACAAGTGCGACCGTTATTTCAGTTTGTCCAGGTTTTCCCCTCCTTTAGTCTTACTATGAAGTGCCAGAACACAAGTGCGAGAACCAGAACAAGACCAGAAATTAGAAACCGAGCACCGTTACCTGAAGCCGAGAATTAGAGATCGCGAGACGAGCACCAACAGCGAGAATCAAAAAGAGCAACCAGCACCCACGGCTTAGGCCAAGATCCTGAGTGAGTAGAGGCCGAGAGGAAGAACTGAGCAGTGTGAGGAGCGGAGTGACAGTGAGCTTGGGGCTTTCTTCCTTCACGTATGGAAACGGTGCGTTTTAGGTTCTGTTTGGTAAGGGAAGAGAGATTTTAACGGAGAGGATGAGAGGGAAGAGATTTTAGTGTTCGCTTATTTGGCTTAGGAGGGAGGAAGAGAAAAAATAATCATATATAGATAACTTTATTTTTATTTTATTAAAATTATCTTTTAAAAAAATATAATTTTAAATCCTATACTTTATTTATATTTTGGTATTAGTTCATATATTTTTATTTTTTATTGTTTTAAATCTCTTTAAAGTTTTTAAATTTCATTCATGAAGGGACATAAAATAATAAAAAATAAAAGTATAAAGATTAAAAATATTAAAAAAAAGTATAAGGATCAATAATAAAACACAAGCAAAGTATAGGGATTTAAAATTATATTTTTTCTAGTTTTTTAACAAAATATAATTATAATTATAATTATAAATGTTTTTAATATGTAACTATAAGTTTATAATTATCATTGTTAAATATATACAATTATAATTATAATACATGATTATTATTTGCAATATATACACATAATTTTATCTCTTCTTTAATGGTGAAATAAACAAACACGTGTGTTAGTTATTTACAATGACCAAATTCAAACTTGGCAAGCAAACGGATGAGCAGCAAGCAAAGTTAGAAAGACAACCACAGCAGCAAGCAAACCATGGATGGACAACAGTGGAAAAGTAGAAAAATCAATAGTAACGTATTGGTCGCTCAGCAATAAAATTATAAAAAATTTTCCTCCTCCTTCCCTCTAGCCTCCCAAACTATAGGAGGAAGCAAAAAATAATAAATAATAAATAGAAAGGATTGAGCTCAGGCTTCAATTTTTTTCAAAATTTATTAGGGTTGGACTCTAAAGCCTAGTTTTTCTAAAAATAATCATTTTTAAGTCCAAATACTTCTAAAAATGGTGGTGTTAAATTGGCAGTTATCTAACCTTTATTCTTGACTTTACCTTATAACTCTTAAATAGATATTTATAATATTTATTCATATAACCTCTAATGGTTTTACATTGCATTATAATATGAAACAGTTCTTTATTTATTAAAGTGTAACTCTCATGTAGGGTTGGAAGCCTATTAGAAAAGCTATTTACCATACATTTGAGATACCAAAGTGAATGAATATTGCTCATCCTTTCTTTCTAATTTTCTCTTGTCTTGTTCACTTATTTCATCTTGTATCTCATTTATATTTTGTATAGTTTCATAATGTAACATCCAAAAATTTTAAAACTCAAATTTATAAAAATAAAATAAAATATCTATAATTAAATTAAAATTTAGAATAATTTGATAGAGGTCCAAAATTTGAATTTTACTAAGTAAAAGTTTGGTTTTATTTGATTTTTAACCATGAAAAAAATTACCAAAATTGACCCAAGCTTTTGTGCAATAATAAAAAATATTGGACCCTTTCTTGTAATTTGCCCCAAAATGTTTTAGCATCAATTTTTAAGAGTGAAAGCACGCAGAAAACGCAGAACAAAGAAAAATAAGGAACCGAATGCGTGAGAGAGAAAGAGAGAGGAAGAAGAAAGGAGAAAGAGAGGGAGTTAGGCTCAGATCTAGGAGTCTTTGCGACCGTTGCGAGCTCGACTACACGATAGGTAAACTCCCTACTTCAATCCTCTTCTCTTTCTCTTGATTTTCTTCAATTTTTGGAAGAGGAGATTTTTAAATTTTGATCCCAAAGGCTTTATTCTTGTAAGCTTTTGTTTCTTTAAATCCTAGGGAGCATGTTTTGAGTTTCTTTATAGTGATCTAATATTTTGAGTGGATAATTGGATGAAAAGAGGTGTTTTGGGAACAAATTAAACCTTGAGAGATTGGGTTTTACTCTTCAATGGTTTAAGCTTATTGATTTAGTTATAATTTTGCTATTTGAGCCCAATAAAATTTAAATTAAGGTTTGGTTTTCATTATAAGGGCTAATGGTGAAAGTTAGTGACACTAAGTGAAGGTTTTTAATTAATTAAAAATTATATAAATTGAAAATTAGCCTAGTGATGGCTAATAAATGGTTTTGGTGGTTAAGCGATACTATGTGAATGGTTGGTTTAATATATGGACCATTAGGATGGACTACGGCTCATAGACCCAAATTGTGTGGTATGAGTTATAGTCTTCATTAATGCTATTTGACATGATAAGTGATGTGGATCACTTATATGTTGTAGGAATTGTTGGTGAAATTTGTTCAGAAGTTAAGAAACAAGCTGAGCCCTATTTTGTACAAGGGGAACCCTTTTGGTACCAAAGGGTTGAGGTAACAGGGGAAATTTATATTTCTTATTACTCTGTTTTAGCTATTTTTGAATAAATATTACTAGCTATCATGCATTACATGTTTTAAAAGATTAAATGTGCTTTATAAGGGGTTATGGGGTACTAATTTGATTATAGTGCAAATATGTTTTCTAATTGTTTAACAACAATGTTTTTATGGAAACGAGATTTGTTTACATGAATTTTAATCATAAGGAATAGAAGTTTCACTTAAGGAAGTGTAACTAAGTAAGGTACCTTTGATAGGCTAAGGAATCGTTTAAGGGAGATTTATAAATGTTATACTACCTTAGAGTGTTGAAGTGGTTAATACTTGAGAAAGGTAGACACGAATAAAAGGCATGATCTCGGTGGGAGTTCACCAGGTGTGTACTTTTGATATTCTATGGCACACTGCCAGTACTTAGTGTTGCTTTACGTATTATGGGCTCAGTGCACTAAAGTGATTAGTGTATTGAGTGTTCGACACCTCTCAGTAGGGGAGGAAATCTGACATATGAAGTGTGAGGTTGAGTGCCTAGGTCAAGGTAGCCCTCACATGGAGAGTAAGTCGAGCTAGCTCTAGGAGGGAGTTAGCTTTGACTGCTCAGGATTCACGTCGAAGGGGTATAGGCGGTTCGGTGGATTAGATCATGTCTTAGATTTTTTTTGTACCTGTGGAGGTACAAGTAGGTATAATGTTTACCTGCAAGTTAAAGAGTGCCAGAGGTATCCTGTTGGTCATGAAAGGCCATACCGGCCTATGTCATGCATTCATACATTTTAAATGGCTAAATTATATACTATGTTGAATTTATTATTTGTTTATTTAATTATGGCTTACTTTGTAATAATCAATGTAGATTTCTCTGTTACTGAAACTGTGGCTGTCTCACCCCTTTCTTTTCAATATTCTAGGTCCAAGCGAAAGATCCAGTGGTGGACGGGGAAAGGAGTAAAGCTAGGGGTTTGCTTGTGATTTGTAAAGAATTGCAACCCCTTTTTTTTAGCAAATATATTGTAATGTATTTAGGATTAGGGTGCCAGTAGGATATGATTATGTATGTGTGAGTGAATATGTGTGAATTGTGTGATTGTGTATGAATTTTTGTCTCTTTGTAAACTTGTGGCTAGGAAACTTGGTTATGGTGTGTGGTTTTGATGGATTTACTTAGTAGACCAAGTTTCTATTACAAGCAGATATTTATTTTGATATATATATGTGATTCTATAAGCAAATGTAAAGTGGTTGCATTGCAAATGGTGTGCTATGAGCAAGCATACAGCTTGGATAGAGAGAGTGGGTGCGTGAGCCCCACAAGGAGCTCTGAGCCAAGTAAAAATGTTTAGCATATGTATTTATATAAATACATGGTATTTGGATTGATTTGTGACCACTCTTGCATGACTTGTGCATTTTGGGGGTTTAGGGTCCATTTTGAGAAATGACACCCGGGTGGTCAAATTTTGATGTATGGGGGTTTTCCATCATTTGAATGTTCTATCAGGTGTTTTTAGTCTTATTTGATGTGTCCAAAGTGTTTCCACAGGTTTGTAACCCTTAGGATGAGATTTGGACAATTTTGAAAATGGTTTTTACCAAAAAGCTGCACTTTTGCATCTAAGTGTCCAAATCTTAATCCGACCATTGGATTTCTGTAAAATTTGGGTCACAAGTAAAACCTTTTATAAGTTTCGTGTGGGATTTGGAATCATGTCGATCAGATATCGGATGGAGAAACAGCACACTCTGGAATTTGGTCTGGAGGTGCTGTCATGACAGTATTTCATTGCTGTCATGACAGCTACAGTAGTGATATTGTAACCTGCACAAAATTTAATCCGTTCATTGAATCTTTTTAAAATTTGGTATGCTAATAGTATTCTTAAAAAGTGACATGTGGGCTTTGGAATCACTCCGATCGAAGGTCGGATGATGAAATGGTGCACTCCGAAAGTTGGTCCGGAAGTGCTGTCATGACTGTCATGACAGCTACAGCTAAAAAGCTGTCATGACAGCAAAAGTGACCAAATTTATAACATGTCCAATTTTTAATCCGACCGTTGGATTTTTTTGAAATTTGGTACACTTATAGTACCCTTTGAATGTGACGTGTGAGCTTTAAAATTTCTTCGATTGGAGATCGAAAGACAGAACGGTGCTTCCCTGAAGTTGACTCAGGAGGGCTGTCATGACAGCAATTTAATGCTGTCATGACAGCATATTTTTACCCTTCTTTCGTTTAACTTGCTTCCGTGCGCTATAGGTAGAACCTATAAAATTTTTTAAAGGCTTTAAATGTTTAATTTGCAATTGTGTATTTGCTTAGTGATTTAAATAGTTTGTTTCCTAAGTTGGTTTTAGGATTAATTCCTTAACCATATTTAGTTTATTTGAATTGTGTGATTTTTGGATAATACTCGGGGCAAGCGTTACATATCACACGTTCAAATTCAAAAAATTAGTTCATGAAGTAAATTGAAAAAAATTCTTAATGCTTGTTGATTTTTTTTGTTCAGGGCATAGAGATAATTTTTCCAAATGGAGTGGTAAAGATTTGCAAATTTATTTTGAAGGAATGGTGACCTTGCAATTTTAAAGAAGATATCAGTTTTACTCATTCATGACTAATTGGATATTCATATTAAGGTATAATAAGAATTATTTCCCTTATTTTATTTTTACTTTGTGCCATTCTTATATTTTATATTTTATCATTAAAATTCAAGTTGATATTTATTGATATTTTAAATTGATGTTAGTTAATGCCTATAGCCATGCATCATATTTTTATAATT